TATAGGCTGCCTTCAAATTGTTGCGATTTGTTGTGGCATTGTTGTCAATTTTGTCCAATTTAGTAAGGTCCAGCATCAGACCCTTGCGCTTGTCTTTATTGCCCTGCGCTACTTCTTTAACCGGGGGCATAACGATATCCTTTTCACCACGACTCTTGGTTTTCAGACTTGTTGCAGTATCGTGCAAACACTCGACACACTGCTTCTCTTCGGTGTTTCCTCTAGGCGTCTTTGCTATTTCGCAGCTACATTTGGCAGTGTTGTCACATTTCCGGACGCTACCACTATTGTTGGTCAGTAAGTTGGCAGCGATCGCAGCTGAAATGCTATTCGAACGATGGCACTCCGTCGTATTTTGGTAGATGGGCGAAGGTGATGATTCGCGTATTTGACGTTCTATATTGCTTGTTGAACGTGTGCTCTGAACACGCCGGTCAGCGCCACCCGCGTCCTTATCAGTTCGTTTAAAGAGCCCTAGTACTCGATTCACAGCATTCCGATTAAAAGTCCCTGGCATGTCCTCTACGCTGATGGCCCGCTTGATATAATTCGTCTCAGTTGCAGGTCGGGATCTTGGTACTGAACGTTCACGCAACGAACGAATCATCGAATCGATTCGAGAACGCTTATCGGACTTGGCTGGTTTTTCCTTTATTTCGCCATCAGTGTTGAGCGCTTTTTGAGATGCATTTTTTTCAATTGCATTGCTCGATGTGGCGTATTTATCAGTCTTTGTGATTGTGCCATCCAAAGATTTTTTCTTTTTAAGCAGCATGGACTTTTCCTTTATCTTCTCTGGGGAGGCATTATCTGGAGATCTCTTCTTTACGACAGCGCCATTTGCTGAAGAGGCGGGGCTGGATGAGGCGCTTTTCTTTTCCTTGCTCATAGCTGAGTCACGTAGTTTTTCAAATTTCTGTCCTATAGCGTAGAGCAACCCTTTACTTGGCTTCTTTTCGGGTGATTTTTCTTTTATTGCGGGACTGGACTCCTTGGAAGTTTCAACAGGCGTGGTCGTTGTTGATGTTGTTGTGGTTGTTGTTGGTGTAGTAGGTGTGACTGGCAGTGGCTGTGCTAGCTTAGACTTCTTAGAAACCTTAATAATTTCCTTGATGGTATTCGCCTTAATATCACTTGAAGAAGAAGTTTCCACATTCGATTTCATGCTTGGCGTCTGGAGCTCAAACTTTTCCTCGACTGCAAGCGGTGGCGTCGCATCTCGTAGCCTTCCTTCGACTATCGTGGGAATAGCAGCACCGCTACGTGTAACTTTCTTCGAGTCCTTCGGCGGTGTTAGCTTGGATGCTGGATAGCTCTTGGGCCGCACAAGTCGACTCTCGCGCATGCTTAATCCTGTGGACTGGGCACATGTGGCCTCATATGTGGCATTTGGCATGTCGGCGGTCATTTCTAGAATTGTATTAGGTTTTCCAGATAACTTTGGTGTCAAAGCGCCAACTTCAGGTTTCATAACTATTGTTGGCTCCTTGGTAGGGTAAGATTTGGGACGCTTAAGTTTTGACTCTCTCTTTGTCTGCTCCATTTCTAAGGGTGTGAGTTGGTTATCTTCGGCTGTTCGAAAACCACTGCCGTGTGCATCGTTAGGTGTCGTCTTTGTGGATTCAGTCTTCTTTACAATCTTCTTGACTTTTTTCACCACGGACGTGGTAATAGTGGCATCAGCATCTGTACTTGACTCTGTTGTAGTCGATTTTTCTTTGGGCTTTATCTTTTTTATCTTTTTAATGGTAGATGACGTTTCCTTCTCTTCAATTTCGGCACGACTGCTCGGTCCTTCTACAACTGATTTTGTTGTCGTTTCCGAAGAGCGCTCCACAGAGATTTCTCTTGGCATTGCCGATCGTAGTTGTTGTTGTTCTTGTTGCGTTCGTGCAGCCGACAGCATTTGCAGCTCCTCCAATATCTTGTCGGCAAGCTCGCTTTTGTGCAGTCCTTCGGTTAAGTCACGTGGCCGCGAGACACTTCGCCGATTGTTCTTAATGGTCTCCTGCGATGAACTACTACCTGGCTGATATTCTGAATACATTTCCATGCTTTTATTACGCGCATGCTTCAACTCTGGTTTTTGCGGTATGCCCGTGAACTCCGCATTAGGTAAGCTGTGTTTGCGAGCCATTGTATCATCCGCATTTAAGTCACTATAACTACAACGTTCTCTACTCGGCTCACGAGATTTCTCTCTTATCTCACGCAGCACATTTTGAGTATCACGTTCGCGTTGCTTCTTATCACGCTGAAAGGGATTCTCTTCTAGTGGCTCATCGAAGAAATCTGGTCGTAGAAAACGTGATATACGTTTCTGCGAAGAGCGTCTACGCAGAGAGCTGCTGCCGCCAACTGCCATTACAATTGGCGGCGACAAGCAACCACTTGGTGGACGCCCATGCGCAGAACCGATCACTTCGCGTTGCGCGCCAATACCACCACCACCACCACCACTGTAACGTTTCTGCGGCGACACCGAACCGCTTTCGGTGGACGATTCTTTCGCTGGCTTGCTGAGATATGGCGAGTAGTATTTGTAGCGATCATTTATGTCCGTCGTATATGTTGAACACATCGACTTGCTGTAGTCGTCGCGACAAACACTACTACTTCGGCTCTTCGACACCGCATCGTTCGGTGAGGGAATACTCGATTCATAATCGTAACGCGAACGACTGAGACTGCGCCGATAAACAGGGTCATAGTGTCGACGTTCACTGCTATCGCTGCTGCGTTTGCTTGCTGTGCTGCTACTGGCTGTCTCTTCGGCCACATTTTCCTTGAGATCTTGTACACCTGCGTTGTGCAATACACCACGCCCACCACTTTGACTGCGTTTATAAATTTTTACCGGCGCGGTCTGGGTATTACTTTGCATGCTCAATGTGCGCGATAATTTACGCGCCTGCGTTGGTGGCAATTTGGCGAGTAGTTGCTCCTGAAAGCATTTTGGTAGACCGGGTGTGATGCTAGATAATGTTTCTAAATCCTTCTTGCTCAAACGTAGGCGCGACAGATCTAAGTCGGTCAAGTCGAGCGGTTCGTCGGTGGATACGGCTGGCGCTGCAGGTCCGTCAGCTGTGCTACTAGGTTCGGCAATAGTAGCAGGACGGCCGATTTTGGAAGAAGTTTTTGTGCCTAAAAAATAGAAAAATGCATAAAATGGTAGCATAGCGCGAATATTGAGGGGGGAATAGAACTGCGTTTCATGTTAAATATAGTATAGGTAAATTTTAATGTATGTTTATTGAAATATGTAAAAATAAGTGTACTTACCGACTACTTTGGAAAGATGCGATCGCTAAGGCTTATAAGGATATTAAATTAAATTAAATATAACTAAAATATTATCAAAAAAAGACAAGTAAAAGGTAAACTCCATTAAGTACTTTCTAGGCAAATAACTCTCGTAACAAAGTAAGCGCTTCAGATTTCTGCGGAACAACCGTTTCGAGAAGCTGTACAGCTAAGGTATCGACTGGCTTCGGGCAATTTATGGATGCGTAAAAATATCGGGATGGCTTAAAAGGGCTTCTCCACAGAACTTTTGTGACCACCGAACTCTTGACAGCGGCAGCCCGCCACATACATAACCTTACTGAAATTTTACCATACAAGGTTGCATAATTTCCAACCAAAAATTATGATTTTTGAAGACGTAATGAAAGCTTAAAGCGAATATGTCACAAGATAGCTAACTTCGGGCAAAACACATGGCGTTTGTTTTCTACAAAAAATGTTTCCTTTTTAATACCCTCTTTTTGTATTTGTGAGCAGAGGGCAATGAGAAGGCAAAATTGTTCGGTAGAAAGGAAAACACCAATAACGAATTTCTGTCTGGATCATTCAAAGAAAACAACCTACTGTCCTTCTCAGTTTCATCCTCCTGCCTCCGTCGTTGTAGCGGCTATTCAACCTTGCCTAGTTCGGTTTGCCCCTGAGTCGTTGTCGTCAAGTTCAACTCATAACCGGTTACCCAAGAAACGTGCAGTTCCGACTGGGTTGGTCCATAGGGACAAGCGCCTTAGCTAAGTGGGGTTTTGAGGGCACGCGAATAAGTTTCGTGAGTCATTAAGTGCCACTCCGCTTGCAGGGCACTCGTAGGGCACATCTGCGTTTATTCTACTCAGGTACGAGTTTAGGCTGCTGCAGTATCCAGAGAGAAGTTGAGCTATGGTGGTGGGAGTCTTCCGAGGCAGTCAAAGCTCTGTCTCGTCCACGTCAGGTGGTTGTGTTCCCACAACGGCATTCACAGGTCCGGAGTCGTTGTAAGTCGAGTACGATGTCGGGTCCAGTATTTGTATACCTTAGAACACGGTCCGTCAGCTCGTATGCAATCGCTTTCACATGGCCTCCCTCCAACACAGTCGGCTCTGTGTAACCGGAACAACCCAGACAAAAACTCTTTGGGTAATTTTTATGCAGATACAAGAACAACAACAAAATTATTTTCTTTAACTGATTCGCGGAGCTTAATTTCATTTCAAGTACAATAGCGGGCCAATTTGGACTTGGATACAAGTGATGCTACCACTGTGAAAATAAATGTATGCTTTATTTTTCACTACGTCTCGAAAAAGCCTTACAAATATTTAATACCCCCACTGGGAACATGGTTCATCTACAGTCCATCTTAGAGCGAGCCAATGTGGTCCTTCTTCCATTCTCTTCTGGATGGAAATCGTAACTAAAACTTTGGTGCTGATCTAACTGGTCTGTAAAAAAAGTACTATCTGGCATAGCAGTACCACTCACTCCAACTCAATTTAGAGTTCTAAGTCTTAGTTCAGTTCGTCGAGCGAAAATTTTGCACGAATTTGAATTTTAATAATTTTTGTAAGGTCGCGTTCGTTCAGACCAAAAAATGTGCATGCAACGAGAGATTGGGAGCCCAAAGTTGCAGTTCTCTTGCAGGAGAAGTTCCAAATTCTCGCTGGAAGAATTTTTGCCAGCACAAAGTTGCTAGCAGAATTGTGGCACATGTTTGCATTTTGCAAATGCTAGTGTGGACGCCAGGTGGCAGCGAAACTTACGAATACCTCCGAATTTGCGTTCATGCAGAAATTTGCAAGTTTGAAATTTGAGTGACGGAAACTTACAAACTCCTACAAATTTGCGTCCATGCAGTAATTTTCAAGTTTCTCTATTGAACGATTTTTCTCTTACTCTCTGAAATTTGAGTGATGGATAATTCTTTTTTTGTTTTGTGACATTCCTACTTACCTCATCCAGATGCCAGTAACGCT